GAGACTAGAAAAGAAGGGCGATGTATCCAGACCCCGGCTTATGAGGATAATTTTCCCATCCTCCCATATGGAGGCTGTAACTCCGGAAGCATTTTGTGCCGACAGACGTCTGTTGCCAACTGGAATCCATATGCACCCGAATAGGCCATATGAAGCCAGGATCAAGCACAAAGGCAAGTTGGAGCTGACCATTCCATTTGTGGACTGTCTTGAACATAAAATATGTGTTAAGGACAGGGCATTCCAACTCGGCAAACATTATATAGGCAGTCTAATGGTCCATTCAAGTAAGACTCAAAAAGACAAACAGGAAGAAGCTCACGCGTTTTTAATTGAAAGTATAAACTGCTTGTACATGAACGCTGTGATTCTACCAAACAAAATGGATGAGCTACGCGAACTTAGCGATACTAATAAGGCTCATCTGCTAGGAATATCTGAAACTTGGGTATTTCCTCAGTTTACGAACCAGGAGCTAGCAATACCTGGGATGTCTTTGTTTCGCAACGACAGGAAAACAGGAATTGGGGGTGGAGTAGCCGTATACGTACTACCCTGCTTGGAGGAACACTAAGTTCACAACCATGAGTTTAACAATGTTGATGAATCTGTATGGTGCTTTGTAAGATTGTCTACTACTTCGAAATGCCTAGTCGGGGTCATGTATGGGAAGCCCACTGCTGACATAGAGTATGAAAGCCGTATGCTGGAAGAACTATCCCTCTCTACGCGTCTCGGATCCATTCATCTCCTGAGTATAGGGGACTTCAATCTCCTTAGAGTCAATTTCGCGGAATATACGTATATTGGAGATGAAAACTCAACTGAAGCTCGGTTCTCCAACCTAATTACGGATCTGGGATTGTACGAAAATGTGAAGTCGGCAACCCGTTGGAGGAACAGTCAGATATCGTTGCGCTTAGACTGGGTATTTACAAACGAAGAATTTCTAGTTGACAACCTCTCAATCCTGGCTCCCCTGGTGAAAAGAGATCGCGCCGTTATAGCCTTCACTTCTGTCAGCAAAACTGAGCTAAGATATCCCACCAACAGCAGGCGCTGGAATTTCAAACGGTTGAATGTGTCAGTTCTACAGGACTATCTACAACGGGTGGATTGGGATGTTCACCATAAACTTGATGTGGATGCTCATTGTGACTTCCTACTGCACACTCTCTCAAGTGCTACAAAGCAGTCAGTTCCTCAAACGGCCCCCAATAGCTACAAGCCACCTACAATAATCAAGAACCGTACTTTTCGCCTGCTAAGCCGGAAAAGGCACTGTTAGACGGAATACAAACGAACTCACAACGGCGGTGCGTACAGGCAATATAAACATATAGGGAAGATATGCACGAAGGCTATAAGAGAAGACAGGCTTCAGTGCCAGACAAAGCTTATGGACAAATTTGCCTCTAATCCTAAAATCTTATTCCGTTATTCAGCCTCTCTTCGTCAAGCCAAAACTGGAGTTTCCCAAATGCTCGGTCTCAACGGCCCGACCAACAACGATGGCGACGCCGCTAACCTTTTGGCTGAACATTACTCTCAGACATTTCCGGCCGACATCAACGTTACTGTGACAGTTTCATCTCCGATTTCATAGAACTTTCCGAAGTGAACCTAAGCGCTGACTTGGTGTTCCGGAAATTGCAGCACTAAGACTAGACACTTCTGGCCCGGATATGGTTCATTCTTCCATACTGAGGGAAACAGCCTCAATTTTGACAACGCCGCTTGGCGTGATATTCCCACATCGCTAAGCCGAGGCAAACTACCGGAAAATGGAAGTTGGCTCCCATCACACAATTTTCAAAGGACATCAGTGTGCGGTGTTATCACTTTATACAGCGCATATTTTTAGTGCCATGTTGAGCCAGGATTTGTGCTATTAATAAAACAAGTAAATTCAACTGTATCACTAAGAATATTCATGCATTACAAGTATTCGATCTTAGGCGTCTTCGAATTGCTGTTCGTGCATTTTGGGATCATCGAGTTGGCAATTCTGAGGTCAAATACAGATCACTGAATGGAAATGTCAAATCGTTTGGAAGGCAGTAAACCTTTATCAACTACAATACTTAAGGCACTTATTACCTATATTCATCTACCATCTAGCTCGACACACCATGATGAGTAGTGTAGTAGATAAGAAGCAAGCTAGGGGCTGCCATGCCAAGACATGGAATTAGTCCATGAAGACGTACTATAGACAGTCATGTAGATAGGTGCAGACTACCTGTTTTTGATCAGCGTGATTTTCGTACCCAGTAAATTAAAGACTGGTTGAGATGGCTCAAAAGCGTCCTCAGTGGCGTTAATGTATTCGCTGGTTCTCTTCCTTTAGAACCTAAGTTTCTAAATTCCTTATGATTTTTTATTATTTGTATCCAACTAATCCATATTTTCTCGTATTATATTTCTGTCCCCAATCTTTTTTATCGCCACTAACATCGTTGCTACTTTTATTACTATGTAATTTCCTCTGACAGTCCCATCTCTCTGTGCTAATGGAGTGTGGCAATGTGCCAATGTACGCATGTCTCGGGTTCTACGTTGCATATAACTGGCTGACGTATTTTGGGGCAATATTTTTTCACATACTGTGGAGTAGAAAGGTCACCGGGAGTTTTTGGGTCACCGATTTACTTTAACATGTAGACTGTAGTAGAGAAGTATGGGATTTTTAAAATAATGAAAACATCAAGGGGTACTATGAAGTCATAAGAATGAACATTTCGCTAACTAGTGATGAGTAAAAGTTTCATACCAGTGAAATGAATGAATACTTCTTTGCTATATACTGTCTTCAGTGCAGTAAATTTTGTATGGAAACAATACAGCTCCTATGAAAACTGGATACTAATCATAATAACCAGTCACCTGTGAAGATTATAAGTATAGAAAATCTTGAATCACTAAATGATTCATTTTTTCAATAAACTTCTTTAAGGATTATATAGGGTTCAACTGTTAACATAATATAAAAATAATAATACTTTCACTATTTCAGAAATCCTGTTGAGTTAGAAACGTTTCCGAATGTTAAACACATTTTGTTCCGGCGTTACATGTTTCAAAAGTCATCTAACTGGGGTGCAAAATAATTCTGCAGGACTTGCAGGAACCTATGCATGCACTTACCATTTGAGGTGATCCGTTAGAGGTAGTTCGTATACCTGGGTAATTGTGTGGTTGCTTTTAATGGTGTTATAGATAAACTCAGTCTAAGTATGGTGAAAGAGCGAACTATAATAATCTAGGCTATCTCTGGATCCATTTCGATGTTAGTCTGGCTGTGGATGATCAATCCTACAACTCATCAGTAATAGCAGTTTTGCTTTATGCTTGTAAAATTTGACCTCTCCGAGCTGAGAGTCCTCAAGGAATCTGTGTTCAATTATCATTATCTCCAAAGGGCTGTTGACATCCATCGGTAATGTCATGTTAGTAATATTGAGTTTCGGCAACATTTATTTGTTATTTATTTATTTATTTATTTGAACACATACATATTGGTACAAGGGGGCACCAAATATATATGCGCCACACAAAACATTGAGAATTCGAGGAGAAAAAAAGAGAAGGTAAGGAGCGTAAAAACAGAACAATAACGACCAGATTAGTGTAAGGTAGTGTAATAATAATAATAATAATGATGATGGGGGAGACGGAAAGGTACAGCCAGAAGAAATCTTTCAGTTAAGGAAGAAACAACCACTTTTCTATGAAGAAAGTAAAAAAAGGTTACAGCAGGATCGCCACTGGCTTCTATTCTGAGCCATATCTGATAACGTCTCTAGCCACTGTGTCGCACCATCTCTCGGACCCCAACCAGGGAGTCGTGAAGGACCGACAGAAGCCAGTCCTTTGCAGCTTTCTTTCACACCACGACACCATGTCATATACTGACCACCTCTCCGCTTTTTCCAACCAGCCCCAGCGTCGGCAAATAATGCACGACGTGGAATTCTCTGGGACGACATTCGTAGAACATGTCCAAGCCACCGAAATCGGTGTTCCAAGATGGTGACACCAATTGGATTATCGTCTCTGCGCCCGAACACACGATGCCGAACCTCTGCATTACGAACATGGTGTTGCCACTGGATGTCAGCAATCCTTCGGAGACAACGATGATCAAACACAGAGAGTCGGCTAACATCCTCAACTCGGAGAGGCCAGGTTTCACAAGCATAGAGCAAAACTGCTCTCACCGACGCTTTACGGCCAGGCTGACATCACAAAGGCGCCAAAGATGGCCCAGATTGGCATTAGCCGCTCTGGCTTTCACTATACGTGCATTGATCTCATCACTCACGCCACCACCAGCACTTATGCAGCTACCTAGATACACGAACTTCTCGACTACTTCTATCTGCTCACCATCCAGGCTGAATACAGGATTGGAATCCTGTCAATCTTGTAGAAGTGCTTTGCACTTCTAAGGTGCAAAGCACATACCATACCTACGGACATTGATTGCCAGCTGATTAAGTGCGGATTGCATGGCTTGGGCGTTATCGCACAGTAAGACAATATCATCCGCATACCTTTATTTGTACTCGGTGACAATAACTCAGTTTATGTCACCATTTTAAACCATTGGCTTCGGTGGTTTAGGAATGTTTTACGAATGCCATTCTAGCGGCTTCCACGTCGATAATTATTTGTTGATGCTTGGGCTGATAGAAAAAGGCTGAAAGATGGTCAGTATATGAAATCGTTCCATGAAATGAAAGGAAGTTGTATAGAACTGGTTGTGGTCCTCGGGGTTGTGCAACCCAGTGACTCGAGACACCATCAGACATGTCTGCGAATGAAGCCAATATCGATTATAAAGGTGAAATGGACACCCTTGAATGAGAACTTTCCTAGTTAAATTTCTAACTAAACTATATTTCCTATTCTTATCAACTTATTTGATTTTCGGATTGTACTCTCGTTTCCTCTGTTATTTATTCACAATATTATCCGATTATTTGTGTGACTCACAATTATGTGGTGCCCAATCGTACCTCAATTTATGATTATTAAGTAAATAAAAAATCAATACGGTTACATGTCAAGTTTTAGAACCAATTAATTATATATATTTTCAGCATCAGTCACCAGTTATTATAAGATGCTTTTTTAATGATTTATGGAAATTTAATCAAATATTTGTACTTTATGATACCAGCTGGAAAGTCACGAAAGTTACCAGTCTTCGGGTTTATAAGGATCAATATTTTCTTTGAACACTAAACAAACCTTTCACTACAGATCTTGGTTTTTATGAGTTACGCTTACTGTGAGATGTATTAACGTGTTATATATATTATAGGTGCAACCTGGAGTCACTGGCCTGGAAACTGGAGTTCTCATGGGCAACCTCAAGCTTGGCCTCCTTTAGGCTGGGCTAGTGCAAATCCCAATCCTCCACATAATGGCCAAACTGGAGTTGGTCCTGGCCCTCCTCTACAAAATATTGGTACACCACTGGGAAACTGGCCTGATCATTCTATCAATTCTACAAATGGTTGGATGCCTGCAGCTTGGGGTCACCAAATCGCTGCACCTACGACGGCAAGTCGCAGTAAGCTACTAGATTTTTTCGGTTAAAGTCTAAAGTCATGATCACTATGCATCACAGCAACAATATTGATACAAAAAATTGTATTGTCTTGAGTGCTCAATAGTCTCGATTACCTGTATGTTATCTGTTTTCACGTAAAATTAATCTTCGGTTGTTATAAGGCTGTTTAGTCCTATATTATTTGATTGATAATATTTATCTATTAATTGTTTGTACATTTCATCGTAGCTGCGCGTTTATAACCTCTGCTACATATGTCATCTGAAATACCGTCACTTGGCGTGGCTGTTTCAAATAAAAGCGAAGGAATAAGGGAATTCAATGTTTAAACAGGACCAGTGTATGAACAGTCCATATAGGGTAGCCTAAGCTCGTTCTCTATCATTATTTACCATGGTTTCGAGAGTCTAGTAAATGAACCCATTTATTTTACCAACCATCACGGAATGTCTTCTGACAATGTTCGGTTGCTTTTTAAACCAAACAACTTGGCCTGAAACCGGGAGATAATGTAATAAGTAGGAGTAGTTGAGTTGAAATACTAATTATTAATTCTCACAACTCTCCAATTCGTACTCTAGTAATCACGAATGAATCAGTGTTCAAGTTAAAGGAAAATCTCTGAACTTATTCACAGGTATTGTATCTTTTGTAATTCGAATTAGGTGTGGAAGTGTTGAAAGAAATCACCATTGTTTAAAAACATCATAGGTAAGTACTAGAATCATCTTGCTTTGATTCTAAAGCTTGAACGGTACTGTCGCCTTCACAAAAATTGTGCTGGTATAACAGTACCCAAATATACTGGTACAGCCGGGGGTGGGGAAAGTAAGCTCTCCTCTTGAAATGCTCTCACATGGCCATGCGTATATAGCCTCTGCCAGGGAAATCCTACTCACTGCCTTCTCGTGACATTTCTGTTTACGAAATTGAGAGGACGAAAGACGAATGTCCGGAGCTTTAACCGGGTTGTTCGATATGGAGGATCCACCTAGGGGAGTTGGAAAACCCTGATTCCAAACCACTGGTGCACATGCGCTCCAGTATCCCGAAGGAACAAATGGCGTATGAGCCAATCGTTGGTCACTGGCTATCATGGGACTGCATCTCCTTACGTTGTTCCATTGCCTTGTGGATCAGACCTTTAGGTCGAAAGCTCTGGGCATGGCCCCCTAAGGAAACCACCTGCTTCGGTCTGGGAATCCGGGCAGTATCACAGCCCACACACAAATCAAGTGACTTGTATGGCGCATAAGTATTCGGTGCCTCTTTGTACCAATATTTATATGTTCAAATAAATAAATAAATACTTGGTTTACTCATATAACCTAAAGTAACTATATTATCATAAGTACGTTCATTTTACATAAACATATCTTTGGTTAAGAATATCCATCGACTTGTTGTTAGAATATGTGTTACGTATGTCTAACTACTTTTTCTCAACGGGAGGAGTTTACTGATGTAGAAGTAAGTTGAAAGAAATCTAAGGGCTACCAAACCAAAACATGGGATTAGTCTATAAAGTCAGTTACAGTTGAACTGAATCATGTTGGTAGATGAAGACTATCTGTTGGGGGACATTGCAGTCTTCATGAACTAACTTTAGAGACTTTGAGTGATGTGGTTCAGAATCGGTGACCTAAGTGCATTTATTCTTTGTCTTCCTATCTACTACATTATTCATACCCTTTGGCTATTCGTGTTTCTAATTCCATTTTTTCGTAATAATGTGATATGGCAACTTGAGCCAACGCAGGTATACAGCCAATCTCTACGTTGATTATAACTTACTTTTACCTTATCATTTTGAGGTATTCATCTCTATTCTAAAATCGTAGACTCTCCAAGCCGTCCTAAGTTGCTGAGTAATCACCATCCGAAAACCTATTCAACTTAATATATGACTCAGTGTGAAACATCACTTGTTTAAATGTGCACTTTTGGAATCAGATTGAACAATACCCATGTCTTGATTGGACTCGGGATAGTTTTTGTGTTAATTCGTGATGTTCCTGGAAAATTCATTCTCAAAACTCTAGTTCAGTACTTTAAATTCATTTTTCATCCATAGGGTTCAATAGTTTGTTTTGCATACACTTATCTAGAGATTCTGTGATGTCGGTGTTAATGTTACACTGAGTAGTATAAGGCAAAACAGTATTAATCAACTAGTTACCAATTAAAGGTGGTTTTTATAGTTTTATTGTCTGGATGAGTTCTACCCCCAAATGAATAACTCCCATCAAGCATTTTCTCGACAGAGATGGTTATATTAACTATGGACTTAAATATACGGATTGGGTATGTACATAGAGAAAAGCCTCTTGGAGAGTTAGTGCGGCGTGGATTTGTTATCTTAAGATTAGGTAATACTGATGGTCCATTACAACTTCGCATAGATCGCTTTGTTAGTCAGTGTCAATCAATTTATAAGACATCACCGGTGTGCATACTAATATCTCTGCCACTAAAAATTTAATTTAAGTTAGTCATATTGCACTCGGCTTCTGGATACGTAATTATGTAAAGAATTGCTGTTCTAAATATGCACTGTAGCGTATTTCAAACTCATACTAATACATTTGTTATGGGCTATATGATATACTGGACCAAAATCATCCATAATGACAGTTAGATTACATCTTAATACTTGGCAACTACTATTCCCATTCCCTGTATCACATTTTTTTGCTTGGCGTTTTGTGCTCGAAATGGTTTGTTCGAGTAAATAAACAAGCACAGGTTTTTTTGGTAATTTTTAGGCCATAATTAACATGAGGGCTAGATACACTATCTGGTTGTCATAATGAAATAATCTGATCAGATCATTGAAAGTTGTATCTAAACGTTTATGCTACTGCTCTATCTACAGTTTGTGCCTTGCTGACCTTTGTATCATTCTTTGCACTTTATAGTTCATACATTAAATGATGACTCACTATACAATCAACAATCTGTACACAAGTCTCAGCCCGGTTGGGATTCGATCTGTTTAGCTCCGCTGGGGACTGTACCTGGTTCTGGGCATAATTCTCTTGATCCATTGGTCAATTCCATTGACTCTTGGAATCATTCAGCTGCTGGTCTATGCCAACTAGCTCCACCTTCTTTAAGTTCAAGTTTGGCCTTGGGCGCTCCATCGATTGTTCCTGGTGGCTGGAATCACGGTAATGTCGTATCACGTTCTCTGAACAATCACTGGACAGGACCTACTTCCTCCGTTATTCCAGGTCCTAGGCCGCCCAACCATTTGGCTGCTGGTTATATTAACGAAGCACTCCCTACACATCAAAATGGAGCTTCTATATCCGGAATGGCAACAGCTGCTGCGATTGGTCTTGGTAACTCCCCTGGTTGTCCACCGATGCCTCATTGGTCATCAACAGGATCTGTAGATCCAAGTGAGTTTTCCAACGTTTATTGTATTTGTAATCTCTGATGCCTTTTTACATTTTGGCACGTAATTTTATCTTTCATTTTTAGCGGTGGATATTGACTAGTTGTCCAAATCACTACTCACTTTGTAATTTATCATCTGATTTCCCAGTTAATACCGTAGGTTTCTTCATATGTATAAGTTAATTTACACTTACGTATTAAGGAAATGGTATCTTTGGGTAACTTCTATACTTCACGTATTGATGGGTTAGATAAACTTATTTCCTTGTATGTGAAGTTCCTAACTTTACTTAGTCATCACAACATATCCATCTCGTTATTTTTTTTTTTTTACTATACAAGACCGATAGTCCAAGCTATTGATATATAAAGTCTCAAAACCTAGGCTCTTTGCTATCCTTTTTAAGTTAATATTGTGTTTTGAAGTAGGCTATGCGCCTTGTTATAGAAATTAAACGTGTAATCAGATTGAAGCTTCAAAATTAAGTTAAGTTCCATATTTACTGGCACTCACCAAGCGAGTTTACTTTGAACCTTTGAAGGACTGTTACTGTATGAAAAATCCGAATCCACGTTACCTGGTACTACGACTAGAGACATTCCCCTCGAGATATTATAGCTGCTGCTGACTTCCTGTAGAATTAGAGTAATTGTATCAAACCGTTAATAAGTAGTAACCAATATAATTTGTTTTAGTTCCAAATGTTGGTCAAATCCTCTCATTCAGTCAACGTAATCAGTAAACAATGAGTATCTGGAATGTAATAAGTGTCAGTAGACATTAAATTCTACATCCATATGTTGTTAATAATTGGCGTCAACAGTGGTATTAAAGTGTATTATGATATGATTCGTTCATCATTACGCTGTAGATAATAAGATGTTTTGACTTTGTTTATGTAATAATGTATGCTTTTCCATGAAAATTATAACCATGATGTATGATCTTTAGTAATTTTCAGGTATTTATACAGAAAGGCTTGTTAAAAGTAAATGCATACGTGGAATCACTTGCAATAGAATTACTCATTACCATCTATCTTTCAAAATATATATGCTCTCACACGGCCACGCGTATATAGTCTCTGCCAGGGAAATCCTACTCACTGCCTTCTCGTGACATTTCTGTTTACGAAATTGAGAGGACGAAAGACGAATGTCCGGAGCTTTAACCGGGTTGTTCGATATGGAGGATCCACCTAGGGGAGTTGGAAAACCCTGATTCCAAACCACTGGTGCACATGCGCTCCAGTATCCTGAAGGAACAAATGGCGTATGAGCCAATCGTTGGTCACTGGCTATCATGGGACTGCATCTCCTTACGTTGTTCCATTGCCTTGTGGATCAGACCTTTAGGTCGAAAGCTCTGGGCATGGCCCCCTAAGGAAACCACCTGCTTCGGTCTGGGAATCCGGGCAGTATCACAGCCCACACACAAATATGATGAAATGTCGGTATTTATGGAAAATACTTGTTTTGCTTCGATTAAAAATCAAACGATTCATATTATTATTATTATTACTATTATTATTATTATTATTATTATTATTATTATTATTATTATTATTATTATTTACTACGTCATTTATTCACTCTCTTTTATTCCCACTCTGTGTATCCTTCTTTTTCGACTTATATAGCAGCTCACCTACGGTGGAAAATCGATTCTATCTAAACGTTCTCGAGTCACTGACTGGCTGAAAATTGAATTCTATCACTAAATACGAATACTGAAGCAGTTTTTCTGAAACCACATGCACCATTCAAACTGGTTGCCTTCAACGTTCACACACGTATGCACGTTGGACAACAGATAGTTCTGGCTATGTCTTTGGAAAGTCTTAATATCGATGTTTGTTGTCTATCCGAGACACGTATTCAAGACTCTGGTGAAGTACTACAAATTCGATCTCCATCTGTCGCTTCAAAAAGCTTATTTTACGTGCGCTTATCCGGGGACCCTGTGACATCTTCGTCTGGTCTTGCTGGCGTTGGTATCGCACTAAGCGCTAGAGATGAGGCAGCACTAATCGACTGGATCCCCATTAACAGTCGGTTATGTGCTGTTAGATTAGAGAGTTCCATCAAAGTGAGAAGAAATCGGCGTGAGAAACGATGTCTTTTCGTCATCTCCGCCTATAATCCGACAGATTGCAGCCCGGATGCAATCAAGGATGAATTCCACCACCAGTTAACTGTTCTTCTCCAGAAAGTGCGTTCGACAGATATTGTAGTACTAGCCAGAGACTTGAATACTCATATCGGGCGTCTAGGCACAGAAGAGAGTAGTTTAGGTGGCCGATGCGGACTTGTTGGTCGCAGGACAGATAACGGGAACCGTCTACTGCAACTTTGCACAGACCACAACCTGTTTCTGGCTAGCACTAACTTTCGGCACAGTCATCGCCGATGTGCCACCTGGCGTCCTCCCTCTGCATCTCAAGCCTGGACTCAGATTGATCACATCGCAATCAGCTACCGCTGGCGTGGTTGTGTACAAGACTGCCGCTACTTTTGGAGTACCTATCTGGACTCTGATCATGCCCTAGTCTGCGCCAATCTTACCTTACTTTTCAGTGGCCAACGAAGTGACTGCCACCAACGGATTGATGTCAACAAGCTGGTTGCAACTTCTGTTGCCAGTAAGTATCGAACCGAGCTAGCTTCTAGGTTAGCTACCATTCCACCGAAAAGTATAGATGAGCATTGGTTGCAATTGCATGACGACATGAAAATGGCGAGTAAATCCGCTTACGGCTTCGCGAAACGCCCCACTTATAAGCACTGGGTTTCTTCAGGTTCCTTACAACTTATTGAAGCCCGTCGGTCTACCCTGGGTGACCGTGAGTTTGACCACAAACGAAGGAGGTTGCGTAAAGAAATTGGGCAAAGCTTGCGTAAGGACCGAGAGGCCTGGTGATCGGAGCGTTCTAATGAGCTGGAAGCAGCAGTTGCGTTTGGTAATTACCAGAAGCTCTTCCAACTCATCCGAGCCACTGGCAGCAAGAAGTCTGGTGTGAGTGAAACAATCTGCGAGGATGACGGGATGCCAATCACTAACATCCATCGACGTCTTGGACGATGGGCAGAATTCTTCGAAGGGCAGTTCAACTGGCCTGCTGATCCGGCAGCATCGGTCGGACTGTCCTACCTTCCATGGCCGGTGACGATTGATCCACCAAATGAGGTGGAAGTCCGCAAGGAACCCCAACTCTTAAAGCGCTACAAATCACCTGGCCCAGATGACTTACCTCCGGCTCTTTTTAAAGATGATGGTGACTTTCTGACTAAGGAACTGACGACGTTGCTAACAAAGGTTTGGGTGTTAGAGAGTGTATCAACGTCATGGAATGAGTCGATAGTTGTCCCTATCTTTAAAAAGGGTTCACGTCGTTCCTGTAATAACTATCGGGGGATAAGTCTACTTCCGATTGTGTCCAAACTATTTGGCTTCAGTTATACTTCGTAGACTGTTTAAAACCCTAGAAAGATTGACTCGCGAGGAGCATGCTGGGTTTCGTTCTGGTCGAGGATGTATTGATTATATCTTCACCCTGCGCCGAATGTTAGAACACCGCCATAATTTTCAAAGGCCAACAATCGTAGTGTTTCTTGACATCAGGGCTGCCTTTGATTCGTTGGACAGGACTGTCCTCTGAGATTGTCTATTGAAGAAGGGTGTCTGAGAAGTCCATCAACATCTTAAAGGCCCTTCATACAAACACCTCAGGTAGAGTGAGGGCATACAAGCACCTCTCTCCATTGTTCCATTCGAGCAGTGGGGTTAGACAGGGTTGCCCAATCTCACCATTCCTCTTCAACTTTGCCATCGACGACATTCCGGAAACAGCTCTGATGGATGTGAGTAATGGTGGTGTGGATCTGTTACCTGGAGAAAGACTTCTCGACCTTGAGTATGCGGATAATATTGTCTTACTGTGCGATAACGCCCAAGCCATGCAATCCGCACTTAATCAGCTGGCAATCAATGTCCGTAGGTATGGTATGTGCTTTGCACCTTAGAAGTGCAAAGCACTTCTACAAGATTGGCAGGATTCCAATCCTGTATTCAGCCTGGATGGTGAGCAGATAGAAGTAGTCGAGAAGTTCGTGTATCTAGGTAGCTGCATAAGTGCTGGTGGTGGCGTGAGTGATGAGATCAATGCACGTATAGTGAAAGCCAGAGCGGCTAATGCCAATCTGGGCCATCTTTGGCGCCTTTGTGATGTCAGCCTGGCCGTAAAGCGTCGGTGAGAGCAGTTTTGCTCCATGCTTGTGGAACCTGGCCTCTCCGAGTTGAGGATGTTAGCCGACTCTCTGTGTTTGATCATCGTTGTCTCCGAAGGATTGCTGACATCCAGTGGCAACACCATGTTCGTAATGCAGAGGTTCGGCATCGTGTGTTCGGGCGCAGAGACGATAATCCAATTGGTGTCACCATCTTGGAACACCGATTTCGGTGGCTTGGACATGTTCTACGAATGTCGTCCCAGAGAATTCCACGTCGTGCATTATTTGCCGACGCTGGGGCTGGTTGGAAAAAGCGGAGAGGTGGTCAGTATATGACATGGTGTCGTGGTGTGAAAGAAAGCTGCAAAGGACTGGCTTCTGTCGGTCCTTCACGACTCCCTGGTTGGGGTCCGAGAGATGGTGCGACACAGTGGCTAGAGACGTTATCAGATATGGCTCAGAATAGAAGCCAGTGGCGATCCTGCTGTAACCTTTTTTTACTTTCTTCATAGAAAAGTGGTTGTTTCTTCCTTAACTGAAAGATTTCTTCTGGCTGTACCTTTCCGTCTCCCCCATCATCATCATTATTATTATTATTACACTACCTTACACTAATCTGGTCGTTATTGTTCTGTTTTTACGCTCCTTACCTTCTCTTTTTTTCTCCTCGAATTCTCAATGTTTTGTGTGGCGCATATATATTTGGTGCCCCCTTGTACCATTATGTATGTGTTCAAATGAATAAATAATATAAATATGTAAAATAAGTTATGCACATTAACTTGATCCTAATTTAATCACCTGACTGATACTATTCAAAAACGTTCTATTCAATAGGTCTGGTGTGAGATTTTTAGAAGAATAACCAGGTATCAAGATTATTGACTAAATGGGATTCGGGAAAAACAACACTGTGCTTCGTGGATTATCTAATCATGTTAAGTTGTGAAATATGAAATCTAAAATGTGAACATGAGTTGTTTAGTGTCAATTGTGATAAGGTAAGAAATGTACGTACATACCTACAGATTTAAGGCGAAAAACCGTTGATTATAAGATATGGTCGGAAATAAAATTAATCAGTTTAATTGATAGTCGAAAAACATAGCATCCTTGAGATGAAAATAAATACATGTACTTTCATGTGATATTGTGCTATAGTTGTTCAAATTATATCCAATTATTATACGTAATTAAGGTAAGTGGTTGTACTTCGTTGTTGTCCACAAAAATGAAGTGAGAAAGAAGCAACATTAACTAAAGGTTGCCATGATGCAGCTAGTTGTACTCCATCTCGTCTGTGTATATGGGCAAGCATAAACAGTCTGTTTTTTAAAAAAAGGGAGCCAACATCTTTTCGAAGAATCTTTGTCCCTTCTAAGTCGATTGTATGTCCTTTTTCTATTAAGTAAGGAGTAAGTTGATTTGTTTTGTGACTCCTATTTATACTTGTTAACCTTGATAATTTCCCTGATGAATCTCAAACTAAAGTATCAAACGGAACATCAGAGTTCTTTATTAAAATCTGAATCACCGAGTCTTTTTAAAGACATCGTTTTTCTTCTGATATTTTCCATATTATTAGTGATCAAGTATCGCAAAGCTATTCGTTCAAATTTGAAAAAGTCTTTATATAACTTATTGATAGTAGTTCACACTGGTTCTTATTTTTTATGATGTTATGTATGCTTCATACGTTTTCTCGTCTTTTCTTGATGAAGGTAATATAAAATTAAATGAATCATTGTACAGAACGTCTGCTGGTTGTAATCTTTCTTCTACTCGTGGCGCAGTACCAAATCAAACTGGTCTCAATTTATCCCATCCAGGTACACTTGCTCCAAATGGTTTACTCTCCGGTGATTGGTGTTGTGCTATGCCTACAAATAATATAGGTTCATCACGTGTTGCGTCTAACAACAATAACTTTCGTCTACCAATATCACATATATGTAAACGATAAAATTAAAACATCATTAAGAAGATAAATTAAGTATTGCTATCTTTATAATTCCTCTGTGTGACTGTCTGTCTGTACGATGGGGCAGTTTCTTTCTGTACATTCTTACCACATAATATTTATCTTTAAAAATATACAAATGGTTTAATCTATTCATCAGAATGTAACCTTAACTCTCCCCTTCCCCACTGAAAGTTTACATGAATCTTGGATCATTGAAATACTAATATGAACAATTATTTCTACCACTACTTTTATTGAATTTCAGTAACATACGTGTATTCTTCCATTTTATCATTATAGGATCCTGATGCTTCTGTAATTTATTATATTTATGCCTTAGTATGTGTATGTGTTTGTTCGCATTTGCTAATTGGATCTCATTTTAATGGGACTGTCTTTTAAGGCAAATGATGCATATTTACATATCTTATCAATATATGTATACTTATGCGGTTACTATTATTATTTATTGTGAACATTCTAATTTCTTCCCGCCTTTTTATTTGCCTGTAAATCTCTTAATTGTCTTCCCGGGATTTACAACAGCAACCTTGCATTTTTTGTCATGATAAAACAAATCTCTTCTGTTTTGTTGTTGTCATCATAGTAATTGCAATACATTTATATATATTTCCGTCTCTGTCCTATATCTTTAACATTTCTTCCTTTTTTTCTCTACCTTTCTATCTGATCCACACAACGTGTTATTTTGTGTATGTTTGTCTCTGTAATGTGCACGTGTACAGCGGTGTTTTACTATTCCATATGCTATGATTATTATATTTTCTTCAATGAGCTGGACTTAATGGGATAAAGACAACCATGTAGTTTATCATATATTCGACATACATGATCATATTTTGTATAATGAATCAAATATTCGTATGACTACTTGAGATGTATGCGTGTGCACTTTTAATGTTAATTGCTGATTGCCTTCAACAATAAGGAAGTTGATGAAGCGTGTTTTTTTACCACATGTTTTTGCGTATATGCTGTAATGCTACTGTTATTATTTAATTAGTCAATCTTTTTTGTTTTTCAATTTTTATTTAAATAATTAGTCTATTTATTTATTTACTTACTTGCAATTTGTTATTTATTATTATTTTCCTTGATTGCTTTTCTCTTCTAAAGTCATTATTGTTGAATTATTTTTTATTGTTATTATTATTATTATTATCTATTCGTTAATTTATTTATTTAATAATATGAATTATATTTGTATCATGATCATTCATAGTGCTATGGTCTAATTGTCATAATTATTAATTAATTTTACTATAGTAGTATAAATAATGTTGTTGATCTAAATTTGCTTTTTATTTATTTTATAGTATTTTATGGAAATCATTAGTAGAATAGAGATAAAAAGGTTATTACTATTGATTTCATAGATATTATTCTTAAAAATGAATAATGATTTATACTTCTTAAGACTTGTAAGATAGATTTAGACAAAGTAACAACAACAAAAGAACGATATTTATAAGAAATTATTCTTGCTTTATTGAGTTTTATTATATAAATTAATATAATAAAACTGATAAATTATTCGAATGTACTTCAATTAATTCATTAAAATTATTTAACCGAAATGACAATATTTCCATACATATACAAACTGTACTGGAAATACTTTGTCTGTACGTATCTATTCAGTTGTTTGATCTTGAGAATGATAAATTTGTTCTGTGCATAATTTAATAATCATTAAGAAGATTTTTCATTGGATTACTTACAAAAAAATCTGTTCATAGGCATGTAAACAGTAAAGATTCATAAACCCCTCTATAGTTTAAAAAAATATATATCTAACATCTAAGCAAAATATTTTCCATTTGAATAAAATTATAGTCCTGATTTCTGTTTCATGTAGGTTTGTAAAGTTTTCATGATATCCCAACCCATCGTATTCAGTGTTAAAAATGAGGATATTGTTTACTTCAGATATTGTAGACTGTGTAGGACTAGTTTATTTTTAACTAGGGTTTGAATAATTTAGCGTTTAGGGCACTCGATTTCAAAACATTGAAGCGTTGGTTCAAGCAACACCGTATGTACTCTGTTCTGATTAGTACTATCGATTCCCACCCAAAAATTACAACTGATAGCTGAGTAAATGAATTTCCACTTGTTTACTGTTGCGACAGGTCACATTACTGATTACCGTCCAAATTTTTTACAGGAATGCTTTCATTTTATCAGATACCAGTGAAACTGGATGTCCTTCTACCTTTATTTAAGATGTTTGGATTATTGTAGTTGTGTGGTAAACGAGGATACAAGTACGGACAATCGAATCTATTTGAATATAAAATTACAGAATGTCTTAGTAAAATCTGAGAATCATACAGTAAATACTTCATTTGCAAGATGTCAATAAGTTGTCTCAAACTTGACTGTTCCTTCTACAAAATGTCAATCAAACATTCTCTGTCGTAGTTACCTTTTCATCAACCTTCTTAACGTCCTGCGTCAGACATTAGACTTCCGATTGATGATACATAATAATAATATCTATCGATATCAGAAGCATAAACCAAAGTTAAGTTTACCTTTTTACGCACAGCGGACAATTCATAAGGTAGATAATTCTCTTCTATTGATGACAGATTATGAATACAATATAACAGCTATATCGGATTTCTAAATTTAAGATTGTGTATGTCATCAAATGCCTTATCACGTAGTCTTTTAAAAAATTAGCTGTAAGTAGGTAGGCAACCAATACCACGTAATTGAAAATTAATCAACGACTACAACACCCCAAGTATCAAGTCGATTTCAACACCGTCCTATACGTACCACGTGAAATCCATTGAACAAAGCCGAGTGTGAATTATCGCGCTTTCATCTACGCACACAAACACACGTGTGCATACACATATACAAACACATACATATACACACGTACAGATCACATACGTACATACCTACATAATACACACACATACACAGAAACAGACACAAACACACGCAAATGGATTGTTTCGACTGAACTGCTCGACATCGGGTGTGAACACGTGTTTGCTCCAAATGCAAACTTCCATGAGTATAAATACTGTGGTTGAATGTATGCAGTCAGCAACAAGTTGACAGCAAACGACAATGCAAATCTTCAATGTATGTTGAAATACTATTGTGTCTAATAATATATGCCTGATCGGTGTTTTTATTTCAGCTCGTCTTAGTTGTACTGGTCGTGTCATTCGAATGTCACAACTCAGGTGAGTCTTATCTTACTCGATCGCATAACATGAAGTTGCCACTTACTGGCGAGTAATTACAAAAGTATCCCACTTGTTGATTCAGCCTTCCTTTAACCACAACAGTGTTGTGTCATGTCTTCAACTGAAGCGAAGTAAACAGGACTGAAATGAATAGTAATGCGGTGTGTTGTCGATTTGTGGAACAACATGCAGTGAAGTGACCAGAGTTGAAGTGGGCTGAATAGAGGTGTAGGCTTGTAATTGTTTTGTTTTGCTCTGTCATATTCCATGTGAATCATATTGTGACGTTGTGTTATTTCGTTTTCAGTGATTGCAGAACCAGCACCAGACAGTCAGGGTGGTTGTTGTCCTGGTGCATGTCCTCAATGCCCTAGATGCTGTGGATGTCGTGGATGCCAAGGTAGAAACTGTTATGGAGGCTGCTGCAGAAACTGTCGTCGTGATTAGCACAACACTAACAGCCATCTCCCGTCAACATCCAATGACGAGAACCCACCATCAATTATGTAGTTTCTAATCTCTCTATCAAATATACTTGTACTCTTACAAAACTAACAATGTTTCTCATTTCACCAAAAACTGTCCATTCCCATCTTTCTCGTGCCACACACCGTCTACAACCAGTCACTATTGTGTGCGCAAACTGATCACATGATCAATAAACACTTCAATAGGTAACACAACCACAACATCACCATCGCTCATTACTCAACAACTCATCCATCCATGCATTCACACTCGCTCGCTCGCTCGCTCGATCAATCAATCAATCACTCAATCAATCAATCAATCAATCAATCAATCAATCAATCAATCAATCAATCAATCAATCAATCAATCAATCAATCAATCAATCACACACAGACACATTAACCAAAATACAAATACTAATCGCCTATACATCATCCTCACTCACATTCAATCTGCTTGGATATTCGAATCCCATCAGTCCGTAAACAATTACGGTGTTCTCGAACAATCCACCTACACTCAATCCAATATCGACCAGCTCACACACTCATTTACAGTTTTACACACGCTAACGTACACACATTTTCCCATATTCAGCTCTATTAAGAAACTCACCGATATAAGGATCGAGATAAACAAATACACAAGTCAAACATTCGATCACGGAACAGTACCAATTCCACAAATCAATCATCTCCTGAAATTCAGACATCTGTCTCACTATGGCACAGAATACACTGTCAGTATTCTCAACCAATAGTCCACTGCATTCTGCCTATCCAATACACCATGCACCATTGATTCATCATCTCCAAATTCAAATACATACAACAACCTCCATATACACTTTCCCATATATCCACCTCTCAATCGCTCTGACTATCTCATCATTGTTTGCGTTCGTCGACACGAAATCTAATTTGCACACTACTGTCATTCACCTCCTCCTTCTCGTTTACCACCACTTCCATAACAATCTAGTGTCAACACCAGTATCATCAAACCGACTCCAATCACACTACTCTCATACCATACATTCACAACACAGCCTACACATATACAAAACTATACCAATACACACAAACACACACACGAATACTACACACTCATCCAATCACTAACTCCCTCCCTCCCTCCCTCCCTCCCTCACTCACTCACTCACTCACTCACTCACTCACTCACTCACTCACTCACTCACTCACTCACTCACTCACTCACTCACTCACTCACTCACTCACTCACTCACTCACTCACTCACTCACTCACTCACTCACTCACTCACTCACTCACTCACTCACTCACTCACTCACTCACTCACTCACTCACTCACTCACTCACTCACTCACTCACTCACTCACTCACTCACTCACTCACTCACTCACTCACTCACTCACTCACTCCCTCACTCACACTCACACACAAAAGGTTACCTCTACACATTACGTCACCATGTATGTGAAGCTCATCAGCTAATTCATCATGATCTAATTCACATTCACTTCAATAGTCAGTTCAACTCATATAAGTGTGAACTTGTCAAACAATGAACCACATGATCTCTCAAAACACCATTCTTTCACACAGTTCTACTAACAGATACAGGCAGTACAGTGCTCTCACATCAACTCAATCACATTAGCTAAATCAACACATCCCAAAGCAACAACAACACCAAGAACAAGAACAACAACAACAACAAGAAGAATAATAATAGCAATAAAACTAATAGTAGTATTATGATTATTATCATTCGTCGTATTAGTTACGTTATCAATAATCAACATGATAATAAGAACACTAACAACAGTTTCAACATCCTCCTACAAATGATCAGACACTCATCCTGTTCAAAACACACTGATTCGTCAACAAATCTTCCAAGACACTGATTCACTTGTCTCAATAATCCCCACTTACTCAGTCCACACACTTTGTTCAAATGAACTCACACAAACTAACAACAGACAAACTACCACATACACACACACACACACTTCGTCAAAATGTACCACTCACCATTTAATCAATACACATTCGCTGTATAGTTCCAATACACTGTAATCCTATACAATACAGTACACTTGTTCAATTTCAAATCCAGTAGGACTTCTCCACTCTGTTGACCAGGTCAACACACAATCTCTCTGACACATCATTCAACTCCTCCACATATCTGGAAAATAGTCATCCAAACTACACAACATATGGAAATCTTGCAATCTGTATGTAGCACTCAACTAAGCACGCATCCAGCACACTCTCAACATAAATACCATTCGTAAATTCACAAATACTAATCACACGTTCCAACAACATTTTCAACAAAAATACCCACAAACACACACTCACACCTCACCTACATACTCAGAACGCAGATCTACGCAACTCTTCAGGTATCCTGTCAATCGTTATCAAGTCGATTTCAACACCGTCCCATACGTACCACGTGAAATCCATTGAACAAAGCCGACTGTGAATTATCGTTCTTTCATCTATGCACACAAACACACGTGTGCATACACATATACAAACACACACAAACACACATAATATGTAGTGAACAAAAACACGGGTGGGGACAAACGGATGTATTTAGCACAACAATTACAG